TGTGTAAGCAGTGTGAGGAATGTTTTATTACTATAAAAATTCAAAACAAGTAACTATTTTATAAAAATTAATATTGCTTTTATTTTTTGATTTATTTTACTTTAGGATAAGTTGAACTCTATCCTAACTGATATCACCATGTTTCCTAATCGTAGGCATTTTTAATAAGTTAGGCATGATTAATAAAAAAATGTTATGCTGATGTTATTTAATGAAAGATTGTAAATATTCTTGCCTATTATCATTATTTTAGTATTTAAACAGTCATCTAACAATGTTACAAAATCAGGTAAAAATTTCGAACGTGCATTTCCCGTTGTGTATGAGAAGAGAAATCTCGTCTCGAAATTTTATGAGAAATAAAAAATCTCGTCTCGTCTCGTCTCGAACTAAAAATCCAATCTCGTCCATCCCTAAATGAAGGTAAAGTTTAACTTTGAATATTTATTTTAATTTATGAGGATTTTCTAAATTTAATGGTTCTATAAAAACTAAATGCTTTACCAAACTTTTCTTGTTCACCTTATGGACTACAGAATAAATGATTACTTTAAAATATTAAAATATACTGGAGCACTGAAAACTTGTCACTTTTGAGCCTGTAGATACCTGTGACAGAATAATAGCTAGATAATACCTAGATAGAATAATAAAAAATAGCCAAAGTGTTTCAAACTAAACAAAACAAGTGTATAATGGGTAAAAAAAATCAATATAAGCATTCAATTAGGAATGCCAAAATTAAACATAACACAAATATCATAGAAAAAAGTAATAACAAATGTAAAACTGCTTGGCAAGTCATTAAAACCAGTAGCAATTCTTTAATCGATTCAAAAACACCCAAAATATCTCCTGATATTTTCAAGGGATCACATCATTTGTCCGAGTTTTCAACTGTCCGAGTTTGTTAAAAATTACAAAATATTTGAAAAATCATTTGTCCGAGTTTTCAACTGTCCGAGTTTTGATAAATAACTAATAATAATTAGATAAATCAACTGTCCGAGTTTTCATTTGTCCGAGTTTTTAAATTATATAAAAAAATATCAAAATATCATTTGTCCGAGTTTTCAACTGTCCGAGTAGGGGCAACATCAAAATGTGACACTGCGCGCCGAGACTAGCGTGTCTAAAGCGCCTGTTCAGAAGTCGATGTGAACCCCTTCTGTGAAGGAGTCAGGCATCGTGCGAGCCGCGAGAGCCCTTCACGTCGAATTAAGAAAAATTATTTTATTTTTATATAAGACTAATTTTACAATTATTAATTATAAAATTAAACTCTCATCACCTAACACAACCAACCAAACTTGCTGATAATATAAAATACCCCCGCCATTATTATATTATCAGCAAGTTTGGTTGGTTGTGTTTGGTGATGACAGTTTAATTTTATAATTAAAAATTGTAAAATTAGTCTTATAATAAAAAAAATATAATTTTTCTTAAGTCGACGTGAGGGCCTCTCGCACAATGCCCGACTCCTTCACAGAAGGGGTTCACATCGACTTCTGAACAGGCGCTTTAGACACGCTAGTCTCGGCGCGCATTGTCACATTTTGATGTTGCCCCTACTCGGACAGTTGAAAACTCGGACAAATGATATTTTGATATTTTTTTTAATAATATAAAAACTCGGACAAATGAAAACTCGGACAGTTAAAAACTCGGACAAATGATTTTTCAAATATTTTGTAATTTTTAACAAACTCGGACAGTTGAAAACTCGGACAAATGAACCTCACCCTATTTTCAATACCTTTTTTATTGAATCAGTTGAAAACATAAATAACTACTCCCCTATAGGGAAATTCGCTAAAAAGAGAATTGTTAATAATGCTTACAGTTCAAAAGATTTACTTAATAAGTCTTCTATCACTGCTGTGCATTTTTCCTGGGAATTGATCACACCTAATAATCTAATAAAAGCCACAAAAAACTTAAAACCTCTAGCAGTAATGATGGTTATCTTATGTCTAATAGCTTGCTTAAACAGATTATTGGTAATATAGCTGAGCCTCTATCTTTTTGATCAGCTGAATTCTTTTTTTGTACATCAGACGCAATAGACAAATTGATTAATGAGGTACTAATGGTCTTTGAGAGGAAGTCACTTGCTCAGGCTACCTTCTGCGACCTGAGTAAGGCTTTTGATTGTGTGGACCATGATGAACTAATAATGAAATTAAGTTTTTACGGTATCAACGGAACTCCACTTTCTTTTTTCAAGTGATACTTAAACAACAGAACACAAAAAGTCTATAAATATTGACAGAGAATGGTCCCAAGAATTAAAAATAAAATATGGCCTGCCTCAGGGTTCTGTACTGGGTCCTCTGTTATTTTAATTTGTATTAACGACCTCCCAGAATGTATAAACAGTAAAACTTATTTATATGCAGATGACACAACATTTTTAAATATTAATCCCGATCTTAATTAACTTCAAGAGTTAGCACTGTGCCGACCCCTCGCACCGCCCCCAGACGAGCAACTAGTGGAAGCATGCCCCCCATAGTGACAGTGCGAGTGGTCGCCCCACATCCCTAACTAAAATGTGAAAGGCCGTGGGTGAACAACAAAACAAATTGTGAACAAAGCCTATAATGTATAAAAAAAATCAACAATTAACAACAAACAATCAGCAAGGTAACCATCCAAAGAATTTCTCAAATCTCTTAAAAAGCTTAATCAAAATTTAAATTTAAAAAATGTAATCTACCCTTCTGAATTTACAATAATACTTTCTGGTACCAGTGACTGAGAAAATTAGGCCTAACTAAAAATTAAATAGGATGGTAACTTTAGAATTTTAAACTTTGAATAAATTAACAAAAAATAAATAACAACTACTATAAATAAATAACAATAATAAATAATTTTGGGGGCCCCTTCATATAGTAAACTTTTAAAGCTGTTCAATAATTTCAAAAGAACTTGCGGTTCGAGGTGGCACAATTATTGTCCTTTCCAAACTAGTGGTGGGCGGCGGTGATCCATCTGGAAGATGGCAGAGGGCGGCATAGTGGTCCCCGGAGAAGCTTGGCCGTTGGCAGCCCAAGGAGGCAGAAGAAGGAGTGTCCCTCCGGGCGACCCTCTCCGAGGACAGCAGCTGGTAAAGCCTCACATCTGGGACCTCATCCAACGTTCAGCAATCCGCTTAATTCATGTTACAAAAATTTGGTTCGCACGAAGCACAGTAAAAAAATGTGACAGGATGTTAACAGATACAAATTCGGCATAACAACACAAATCTTGACACGAACCGATGACAGTCGCTGGACTTCTGCCGAAAATGTGCCCGACAGCGGAAAATGCCCCGGAGTCTGCAGGTCTGCTGCCAGACCCAAACCGACCGAGTTCCGGCGCAAGGCCAGGACTCGCACTATAAAAAAACACTCAGGCGTGACATTGGTGGGACGCTTGGTGGACATGTCACGGCTCAGCACAAAACTCAATTAATGAAGCCTCTATCTGGTATGAATCTAATGGCTTTCTCTTATAAAGATAAAACAAAAAAATGTTTTTAGCCTTAGACCGTGTGAATTAAATATGTTGGATGGCTATGTAGACAATGTTATATTTATTGGTATTTATCTGGATAAGACTCTTTCTTGGGGACCTCATATCGATTACATAAGTTCTAAGCTTTCAAGGGTAATTTGTCTTATGACTAAACTAATACAATGTTTGGATCAAAATTATATTAAAACGGCTTACTTAGCTTATTTTCAATCAATTTTTAGATACAATATTATCTTTTACGGCAATCGCAGTAGGATAGAGGAAATTTTAGTCTTACAAAAGAAGTTGGTTAGAATTATATCATATTATGAACCCCTACAGGAACACTGTAAACACCCCTGTTCATTCAGCTACAAATTCCAACAGTGATTATCATTTAGGCCTATTTATTTGACTCTGTATTATATATTCTAAAAAATCCCAACTTAATCAAACAAAACGTTGCTACCATAGATTTTTTCAGACAGTCTAAAACTCTTAAAACCATATTGTAATCTCATTAAAAATATACAACGAGCTAATAGGTACATTTAATACGAAAATATCCCTAAAATACTTATAAAACTAAATTCTACAAATGGCTTCTGAACAACCCCTTCTATTCTCTAAATGATTTTTTTTAATACCTGGTATTAATTTTTTAAGTAGAGTTAGCAAATTGACCAAAACTGTTGAATTTTGTTGGTTATGGGGTTAAATCACTTCCATTATTCTAAATGCCACAATTTTTTTTTTTTTTTTAAGAATAAGATTATACAATTGTAATATTTAAAATATAAATATGTATTGTAACATGTCTCATTTTGTCTAGTTAGCTATTTTGTATTTATTGACTGACTATGATGTAACTTTAGCTGTTTTATGACATTGTCAATAATTTGCAAAAATTCAAAGGTTAATAAACACACTTCATTCTCTTCCCGAGTTATCCTTTTCTAGGGATAGTATTCCTACGAAGGCTTTTTAAACAATAATAAAAGTGGACTGTATAAGGGATGATTAATTTAATTTTTATTACAAAGGACTTTTGGTTTAATTTTAGCACTGAATATAATTATATTACCACAATGACGTTCTAGAAGTCTTGGAAGAAGATTTGGTCGAATGTTGTCCTGTCGAGAAGATATTTTTGATGAATGACCAAATGTTCTCACATTTTATTACAGTACGGTACTCAGAATTTACAGAATTTAGAGTCCAATTAAAAGGGGTTTATTAAATAAATAATAATAAATAAAGTTTAAAAAAACTTGAAAGTTCCTACGTTATTCTTGTGAAGAAAAGTAAACTTTTGTAGTATGCTTCTTTATGGATATATTTTGATAAAATTTGGCAAATTGATTTAATTCATACTATACTATTGACATTTTACAAAAAAAGTTCCTTCCCTGTAGCAGGAAGCCTTAGTACTCCTTAAATCTAATGTTAGTTAAAATCCAAACGGAAAAATGAAGTGTGCAGGTTTGCTACATTACCTGAGAGCAGCAGTGCAGAGTGTGAGGTATGGACACTTGGAGCATGCAGAGTGATGATGTATGGGAGGAGGCAGGGTAGGTGCTGTGATCTGGTTGTTACTAGCGACCACAACTTTATGACTGGCCTTCAAATGACACACCAGCTCATTGCGTAACAACATCAGGTCTCTGCGCTCCACAGATCCCACCGGCACCTCCTTCATCACACCTTCCCTGTACAGTGGAACAAACGTTTTGCTGTCTTACATCTTTCCCAGTTGGATTAACTGGTTCAAAAACCACAAATGACAGGACTTAGTGCAATGAAATAAACTTGTTTTGAAGACCTTATACGTATACAGGGTGATTGATATTTTTTTGCCAGATGTTTTATTCAAAAGTTATAAGACATATCAAAAAAGGTTAAATTATAACTGTAGATGTAAATGTAGATACAATCATAGACTAACCAACACAAGTAGACTTCTCATCCCATTGTAAATTTTGAAGCACGTTTTTCGTGTCTAGTTCATGTACGTGACACATGGGCGCTAGTGTCGACGAAACTTTGTTTCTATTATTTTAGGGTTAATTTCTTGATTTGTGCTTTACTGTTTGGTTATATAACTAGGGGACAAGTTATTGTTTATGATTAGATCGTATTATTTGGTTAAACGAGGTTTTAAATGGTTGTAATAACAGGAAACAAATAGTAAACAAAACACGACCTCTACATAAACCGTACAGAACTAACAATAAAATTGTCTTCAGCTGTTCCATAAGGATGAGAAATCTACTAAGGGAGTATGTTTTATCTATGATACAATTTTAAGACTTATTTATTCTTACAATTTTCTCTCTAAACTTACTCATTTAGGAGCTACATGGCGCAGAATGTACACTGAAAGTAATTTTTTTTTAGTTCTAACATGTTGTAACTCCTAAATGAGTAGCTTCAGAGACAAAATGCCAAGAATAAAAACAATTTTAAATGGCATTTACTTTCTAAATAAATCATAAAATATAGGGTCTTCCGTAAGAAAAATCAAAGTTGACAAAAGTTTTTTAAATAAAATATCCAAGGAAGTTAGAATTTAACATATTTTGATATATACTGATATATATCGTCGGTCAATAGACATAGGGGCGTAACTGCAAAATGGCAACTTTTCAGGAGAACAGTTTTTTAGGTGGTTTCAGAACATGTACTTTCTTTTGGTGTTGTAATTATAGATATAAGCCACCTAGGACAATGAAATTTTCACAGATGATACCAAAGGGTATGGGCATCAGTTTGCACTAGTTAATATGTTGTTATCATTATTGATTTCGTAATTACATCAAGTCAAAGTAGATACGCCTGTATGTCTCAAACAAGAAAATTCAAATAACCAGTTACACTCAATAATTTTAAAGCTATAAACTGTCCTCATTTATCTGTAAAATTAACCTTGTTATTACATATTATGCACTAAATTGGTTAAAATTTAATGAATAAGAAAGAAAAAAATTATCATGTTCCAATTAAATTTATTAAGTATAGAACTATAAAAAACATGATTTTGCCACGTGAAAACCAACGTCTAGAGACTAGTCCAACTACAACTAAAATAGTGTAGTCTATTAACAAACAAATTCATTACAGACAGAAATTCAAATTATGCCATGTGAAAATCAGCTTTAGCCTACTACAAAAATACAAAATAGGCCTAGGCCTACATTAAATTAACATTTTACCAAAATAAGAATTGAAGTACCGGCAAGTTAGCCTATTAGGGCAACAAAAAGTTCATTAGGGCCTACAGACAGAAATTGAAATTATTTCATGTAGAAATCAGCTCTAGCCTAATACAAAAATACAAAATAGGCCTATATAAAATTAACATTTTGCCGAAATGATAATTTAAGTACCATTACAACAAATTCATTACAGATAGAAATTCAAATTTGCCTTGTGAAAACAAAATATTAGACATCAGTACAGTAAAAAATACAAAATACTAAAAGACTAAAAGTAACAAATTAACCATCTGCTAATCACCGTAGTAACAGTTTTTTCATTGCTTTAAGTTACTCATGACGCAAGTTTTTGTAGAACAGTACATTGTCTTCGCCCTGTAAAATAGGTGTTGGACCGACCACTGCAGAGCCCCATCAAATCATTGTATTTTTCCTTCTTTAATTTTGGCTCGTTCTTCTTGTAGAGTCTGCTTGGCTTAGAACCTGGGCTTAAATTTTACAAAATATAGCTACCATATTAAGGACCATTATAGGACTATTCACATTTCGATACTGACCGTAGGCTTTGCCCCTTTGCCTTTAAAAGTTCTGAGGTGAGGATTTTAAAAGTAAATATTGATTGGTCTCCATGGCTGCGATTAGAACACTAATAATGTTTCAATAATGTAACAACAAAAACAAGAAGAACTGCTAAAATTGCATATTTCACAATTTCAGACAGCTGATACAAAGAAGTTAAATATAATATTTTCTATAACTAACAGCTGAGTTAGTTTTTCTAATAATGATTTATTGTCAGTGAAGAAACTAAAGATGGGAGGATTTGTGATTTAATATAAAGAAGAGTGAAATTTAAAAAAAATGTCCATTTAAATTTAATAATTCTTAGCCTATTTTTGCAACTTCAAAATTGAAATTTAAAATGTCAATTATAAATAAAAAGATATGTAATTTTGAGATATGAAGGTAAATTGTATGTGAAAGTTTTATTTGAAAGATTTGGTCAGTTTTTCTCATATCAGCCTACACAAGATTTAAATTTAATCAAAACCAAAATGGCGGTATCCACTACTTCTTACCAGATTTAAAAGTCATAACTTAAACGTTTCTATTAAGGCCATAAAAGTAGAATTTTGGTTCTAAAAGTGTTGGCGGATGAGTAACTATTATATGCAACAGATGTAAAGATTAAAATGTTTCTATTTTGTTTCCTCTTCCCGTTGCAAAGCACGGGTACAACAGCTAGTAAGCTTAATACATTATTATTAAAAGTTGATACGCCTTTATGACTCTGCACCTAGTAGCTAAATACATTTAAAGTTAAGAGACATACGGTCGTAAGTGCAGTTCCGTCTGTATGTCTCTTGGAATGTAGGAAAAATGTTCAGTTACGATGCTCATCTAACTTTTGAACGGATTGAGATACAGTTGCACCAGTCGGTCTATTGAATAGAGCGCATAAAAATTAGTGGGGTTGGTAGTCTTATCTCAAAATCGCCGATTTTCAAGTTACGCCCCTATGTCTATTGACCGACGATATACAGACACAGGGATCGATACAAAATGAGCAACGATAACTTTTATGGTTTTATTTGTAGTGTTTGATGGCAGAGTGACATACTAACCATTTCAAAATATCTGCCCACGGGAAAACACCTAAAATCACAAGTAAAAATGGCGGCTTTTGCCTATATTACACAAATTTTGAGAAAAAGATACCACATGCATTTTTTATTCACATTTTTCAGGATACTTGGGATAACTTGGGACCACCGTAAATATTTATTGGTTGACCACTTACTTCATTTCGATAGGGAACATGTTTTCGGCGATATAAATAAAACTTTTTATTATGATTGTTGTAAAATGAATTTATTTCAAATTGTCTTTACTTGATTTTGTCAGCTGATTATTTAAAAGATTTAAATTAGTCATCTGCCAATGTTTTTTCTTTTAGTTTTTATATACACAGTTCTGTTGAGTTCAGTTTTTTATAGTAAGCTTTCAACATGGTGTCAGGTTATTAGGAGAATAACAATAAAGAATGGAATACCTCTACCAGATCCACTTGACATTTTGGACAAAGCAAATGCAGCAGAGAAATGGATGTTATTCAAAGTCCAATGGAACAACTATCTAACTTTGGCTGAAGCGTGTGGTGGCTCAAATGCAGCAAGATAACAAGCAAAAAAGTTCAGGTAGCTTTATTCCAGCCTCTCATTGGAGGTAAAACCTTACAGCTAATAAACAAAATATGCAATGACAAGGCCAGTGTTGATGAGATTATTGATAGACTAGATGATTATTTTAATAATGCTAAGAATGTTATTTTTGAGGCCTTTATTTTTAATAGTGCTACACAATCACCAAATGAGTCTTGTAAAGTAAAGAGTATATTAGTCTTGTAAAGTAAAGAGTATATTAACAGGTTACAAGAAATGATAGGAAAATGTGAATTTGAGTCACTGTCAAATTTATCTAGGCTTGAAATTGAAGAGCAGCTCTTATGTGATAGGTTAGTAGTAGGTTTATCAAATAATGACTTTAAAAAAGATCTGACTCTTGATAATGCTACAAGCATATGTCTTTTTGATGAGCAGGCTAATAATCTTGCTAAAAAATCAATGAACGTAGAGCTGACGAGACTGAACCTTCTGCGGAAAATATAGTTAATGAGTCGTTTAGAATAAACAGTGATCAACAACTTTTTTGGTGTAACTTCTGTGGGGGAAACACCAAAGAGGAGCAAGTTACTGTCCTGCGTTTGTAAAAGCATGTTGTTTTATTTAGTAAAGCGAAAGTCCGTGAGCTATAGAAGACCAGCGCAGGTGGTGGCCAGTCAGCAGTTAGTGTTGTTCAACTACCACATGAATCCATACATTCCCTCAGGGTTGGTAGCAATGTGCAAAACCCGTTTAGGGCGCGGGCTCGTTCAGCCCGCCACTGGTTATATATGGAACTATGTGGACTGTTGGCTAAACACAGAAGTTGTACAGCTGAGTAGCCACAGAGGTAGAAAGCCCATTTAATTTTGTATTCAAGGTGCACAGAGTGAAAAATGTAGGGTTAAACATCACATCAAACATTTATTTGTAATCTAGAAGAATTGTATACAGCATACAGCATACTCAGCATACTACATTGAATGTTACTGGCCTACAGTGCATACTATCTCAGTGAAATATAATCGTTCTTAAATCAGTTAAATAGAATTTAGCTGATTCTTTCTAGCCCCTTCCCTCATCCCTAAGACACAAGGTGCATTAGAATCAAGGCCCCCCACAGTGATATTTCAATCGATTTCCAATATGTTTCATCAGGTTGTAGCACCAATCGGGTCCAAAGCAGAACAAAACAATCATTTGCTAAAATGTGCCTTAGAGCAAAAGAAAAGATTAAAGTAGTAACCTCTGCTTGTGAAGATACCATTCCAGGAGCTTATGTAGACACAAATGACGTATATGAAATGGAAGATGACATTACAAAAAAACGTC